TTAGATTTCTACTTGATGTTACTTTTACCTTGTCTTATTTTCTGCACACAGATAGACACTAGGAGTTTTTTTATGTCCTAAGGCTCCTCAACAAGAAACTTGTTTTTTAACAAGCCTGATAGTTTTGTTTTCTCAGTGCCACATCTTACACCCTGGACCGGTTACTACTACTCTACTGAAGGTTATTACTGGAGCTGGGACTTCGGAAAACCATATACTTACATATATGTGAGAGGCAATCTGGTTTTACAGGTTAGTGGAAGTTTTCGGATAATTGATCTAAAGGTTCAGTAAATGCAGATTTTGAGAGCGGCAGTCAGGTCTACAATTATATTTTTTCACTAGTACATCCTTCCCATTTGACACAATAAAAAGAAGAAAATCGTGAGTGGGAGACAGACTGGTAGGTCTGACTCCACCCACATAATCAACATTTGACGCGTTTCAGAATGAATGGTCAGAAATAAATGAGTTATTCACAGCAACTGGTGAAGTCTGAGCGAGGTGAAAAGTAGCTCTTTTTCATTGTCTGTTCAAAGCGCACAGCGATTGTAATCAGAAACCTCAGAGCGTTCAAAGCCCTGTAGAGAAAAGAGCCTCCTATCTCCAGATTCTGTCCCTTTGGTAATATTTTTGAATGAGATTGAGTTGTGCATCGATCCTATTGGCAACATTTTATAAACTAATGGAACGCAGTCGGCTCTTGGAAGATAGCTCATTCTGGTTTTTGGTGCTGAACCTACATCTAGCCTTGCACCGCTCAGCGTTACCCTTTCCTCTTTGCAAGAAATTATCAGTTTCCAAAGAGTAAAGGTGGTGCGGTGGTAAGGAGCTGGCTTACCAAGGGCGATTCAGAGGTAAGATCCCGTGTCTCCCATACAGTCCGGAGGCCTCTCTTTTTTGGGATTGGTAAATTGGTAGCAGACGCATCTGGGGCAGAGGGGATAAGGACGTTAACCTGTGGATGGGCTCGACACGCATCATTGTATGGACCACTGCATAGTATTCATTGAGGTACTGAGATGCTGATGGAAGTAGAATGTACAGCGCACCAAAAACAGAGATTCATCACTGGCGAAGATCTCCTATCCACGGTCATCATGTGTTTCCCATCAGCAGGCCAAGAATGATCGACGTTGATCACGCGACAGCAATCTACAAGGATCACTGCCAGGCTTTCTCCTAGCGTTACTCTTGCTCGTCGCAGTTCCGCTGTTTATATGAGATGCCATCACTTTCTCGTATCAAAGGCCTCATCAGCCATGGCCTTCACTTCAGCAACGTCCTTCTCCATGACATCCTTCTATCTCTTCTGCGCGGCTCTTCAACCCATTCGTGACAATGTCCGCCACTGGTGGTGGACACCGAAATGTCCACTTCGGACCATGTCCACCATATGTGGCGGACGGGCTTTTGATGAAATTTTTAGAAACAGTTCGAGTTCTTCGAGGAACTTTTCCCAGTGGTACAAGTCTTCATACCTTTGTAATTTATGCAAATAGTGGACCAACGAGATTCTCAGATATAAGAGTCTCAGGCAATAGCAGCACCCGACCCAAAACCTCTAGAAAGATTCCTGCTGAAAAATTGCCGGTAGGGGTTACTCAGTGCCCCGATCACGAATGTGACGTCCGTTTCTGGCGCCGGCGGAATTTGAGGCCATTTGGCACCATTAGGCGATAATTTGGCGCCACCACTTTTTCATCAAACCGGGGCGCCAGAATGGTGCCGCACCAACTTCACCACTACCTTTTTCACCAAACTCTAGGAAAAGTTACATACTAGGGCTTTTTGTTGGTCTAGTCACGATGACTTCACTACACAGCACCAACTGGCGCCAATGGGCGCCAATTTGTGCTATCACCTCTCCCACCTAAACTGGATACTAGGGTTATTCGCTGTCCCTATTATTGATGACATTCACTTTTGGCAGGAACGTTAGCGTAGGGCACAAGGGTTATCAATGCGATGCTGAGGCTGAGCTTGCCTTACTAGAAGGAATCACTCCTCCTCCAAGCTACAGCCTTTTCAGAGCGCTATATGGCGCTAATGCCATGAAGCTCATGCCGCTACATGACGTTCTGCAAAGGTAAAAACCAATGCCTTATTTGTGATCGGAGTTCCCACTAGGCCGACTTTCGACCAACTTTCTTTTTATGTGGACAGACTTGGCTTAGCAATCGTTTCCTGAGTTGGTTTGACCTTTTGAACACGAGTACCACTTCCGCTCGGCTCAAAACCTCCTTGCCACCAGGAGGTTTTGAGCCACCTCAATATGTCAAATCACCTCAATATGCAAGCTTACACGGGTTTTCGAGGGAAAGACTATAGCACTAAATTAGCGCACATTGGCGCCAAATGGCACCGGAGGACAGACGAATGTCACTTTGTGACCTGAGGAATAACCCCTGCACTCGATGGTTCAGTAAAAAAGGAGATTTCGGGAGCAGAAAGTTGAACAGTGCTAAAATTTTTGGTAAGGGGTCACGAGGGACCGTGTCCACCACTGGTGGCGGACACTTGCTGAGAGCTCGCAAATGCTCCGGTCCGAACGAGCCGTTTCAAAACTTCGCCTGGCTGCTCGGGTTTAAAGTGCTCAGTCGTTCAGCGCTTGTCCTTTCTATGAATGTGAACATAACTTCGTTAGTTCTGAACAGCAGAAATTCTGCTGCTCGGTGCTCTCTAATTTAGTGGTACCGAGGGCGTTCTCTGTCGGACCGCTTTCGTGTCTGAGTCGGTCTATTCCAGCCTTGAGTAAAAAATGTCATTTAATATTTCGAGCGAGTAAGGTCGTTTGTGCCGAGAAGTTGTATTTCACTACGAGGTATAACGAGAGGAAGTTGACTGGGCTCTTGAGTACGCATGATCTGCAGCAAAGACGATTGTGGCCGCGTACTGGGTCAGGTAGGCCCTTGTAATTTTGCTGCCTAGCTGTTCCCTCTCGGCACCTCTCGAGCACCTTCTCCTATTCGAGTTTATTCCCTATATCATATTTATAACCACCGATGATTAATGATCTCACGATCAATGCTAGCGAACGCGAGTGATTTACTTTGATTTTCTCAAACTATGTCTTGTGCCTGGAAACATATGTCTCAGAGAGAGCGGAAATAACCGGCGCACCTGTGTGAGACTATTCTCCGCGCCCCGAACATAGAAAATGATGAATGCACGATTTTCCATTGTATGTCAGCAACTATATCTAAGTTCTGGATATGCTTAGCTAAGCTACTTTACCATCATGACTTGCTTCTAATTCTTTCACAGGAGTGTGCGTGATGCCACAGTGATTTTTTGTTATTTTATGATCGTATTAGACTTGCGAAAAGAAAAATTCGCATACGCCGCTATTGAACAAGGGCCGATACGAAGGTCCTCTACAAAGCGTCATGTGTCACATTCAGGTAAGTGTTCCCTCCAGACACTATTTAGGTTTTACTACTTTGATTCTTCTATTTATGGTTAAATCCACTTCGTTGTCGCGACTCGAATAATTCAGCGACACGGTTTAGGCGTGAAGCGTGGGAATGGTCAATGCAACAGTTGTGGGGGTTTAGTGCACTTTTGTTTCCTATTTTTCCTGGGAAGGAGAGCGCTGCAACAAGAGAAGCATTAGCTTTCCTTGCGGAATGCCAGCTGGTTAGCCTTACTAAGCCTCTTATACCGTTAGACGTTAACCGCGTCTTCACAAATTGCAGCATAAAGTGCATTAGTTTAGCCATCTGTCCAGGAAGCGCATCTCAGCAGTGAAATGCAACTTGCCGTCAACTACATGTTACTGAGCGCCTGCTTCTTGGTTATGACAACATTCTTTAACCTTAAAATGTAAGTTCATAAACGACACTGTTGATTCTTGTTAAGAACGGAATTAGAAGGCCAATGAAAGGTGAAGCAAAACATGGAAACAAGATCGCATTGAAGGCTACAACGATGAGCTTTGCTGAAATGATGCAGGTATATTGTATTGACTGTCCTTCAGAAATCAGTCTGTTCCACCATTGCAAATTCCAAGACATACGGATCAGAACGGAGCGATACTTATTTACAAGTGATGACAAAGTGGAAGTGCCCATCAAAAAACTCAACCAAAGTCTGCTCAATTTTCAGCATTGACCAAGTGGACCAGATACCACGTGGAAAGGTAACGAGTGGACATAGAGCCTACCAGCTGTAAAAGAGCGGAACTAGGCGCAGCTATAGAGTCGCTACGTAGGCGGAACCCATTCGAAGAAGAGTCATCTGAATTAAAACTTAGGTTCTTTCGTTATTACTGTGTTTCTCAAGCTGGGACAATGATCAGGTTAAAGACCTTTTCATCACTGGCTGGGGAATCCGTCTAGTAATCGTGAAATGTGTAGTTGAGTCTTTAATGAGTTATCATGTTCCGTGATCTAATCATTTGCTTTTAGAGATGCTTTATTATACGGCTTTCTAACGAAACTCTCCTACATCCTCAATCTTGCTAAATGGTCGGTCTATATCCTTGGCAATGAGTCCATAAGAAGAAAACTTCTATCACTGCTTAGATGTGGCAAAGGCAATGCCTCAACAGTACA